GTTGTCAACGGGGCGTGCTCACTACCTGAAGTAGAGTTGGCCAACGACATTTGATCCTGCAGATGCAGACCCGCGTTTTTGACAACCCCGAATGTTGTGGTTGATGAATCAGCGGTTTCAAACTCCATACTTTACGGTTTATTGACCGTACTTCCTTCCTTGAATCATCAATATTCAGTCGGTTGTTTAGCCATTCAACACTTATTTGGTCGAGTGCTCAATTATTCCTTGAAGTCTCTTCAATTATCCTTCAATCAACTACCTATTTCCCTTTAAACCAAAGGAAGACAGATCAAATCTTTGATTTTTCTGTGCGCTTGAACGGCGATGGATGCTGTCGATACGGACAAATGTATGTGATGTGACTGATTATTTTGGTCAATCTCAACTTTGGATCCTACACATTGACTTTGACGGTCCGTCTTGTTATAAAGTCATTGTTGAAGTTGGGTGTGATACAGATTCTATATTGTATGTTTGTATCGCCTGCCCTGCAAGCCGCTCAATGCAGAGCAGCCACATTCGCCGGCATAAGAAGACTCCCACTCACCTAAAAAATTTCAAAATATGGGTGGCAAAGCAAGCGGCCAAACCAACGCCAGCGTCTTTCATCAACCACAACGAAGTCCAACCTCACAGCAACTCTGCCCCAGCAAGCGATGAGAATCGAGCTCAGGCTGAGCACACCAAAATTGACTGCAATAGCGATTTTCCAACAGCAAATGCTGTTCAAGAAGTTTTTACTGATCTTTGGACTACCAATTATTCTCATCTGTTCCAATCTCCGGCTGTCAGCGTGCATAGTAGTAACGACGATCCAATTGGTGACTCAGACAGCTGTAGCAAAGAATCCGATTCCGACTCAGATGATTCGGTTCATTCTGAACGTCACAGAGCGCGTGATTTCAGCATGATAGACAAAGAAGAAGACTCCTGGTTCCCTTTTGCAAGTCTAGAGGCATGTATTGAGTTTTGCCTATTATTGGGTGGTATTCAAATTCTGACTGTCAATTTACTCCAGCAAATGGTTGGCTTCATGGTGCTGGGTTCATCACGTACTATTCTGTCCATGTTACAATACGAGCGCATGTGTTCGTTTTTCGGATTACTCGGTGTAACACTGCCTGCACACAAGACTATTCAGAAAGTCCGCCGCCGAATGAAGAATAGATTTAATTTTGAAGTCACAGAATCTCTGAGTCCTTTAGAAAAACCGTGCTTTGGTTTGAAAATTAGGGAGATCCTCAAGCAGGCAAGTAATGACTCACTGTAGCGAAGGCAGAGTAGAGTCCAAATTAATTGACTTTGTATTTTTCCAGGAAGTCGCGAATCCGTATGTATCAGACTACCTTGAATTCATTCCTTCGCTACCCGACGAAAGCACAAAGGTGTCATCCCTTTCGCAGTCTCAAAAGTGGAGAGAGGGACTTGACCGCAAAACCAGAGTTCAAATGGTTGACCGAGAAAATGGGCATTTTTACTTGCACGAACCGGTTCAATTGGAGTCCCAAAGGATTGTGGTTCCTTTGTTTTTTTATAAATCAGGAGACGATATATTTGCAAAATGTGTATTTGCACATATCAAGTGGGCAAACCCACATATACGAATAGAATTTCAATATGTTTCTAATTTTGACTCAGAATTATTGACAACAATCAATGTGAACTCCTTCTGGAGGGAATTTGACAAGGTAGAAATGCGTGATGGACGACTCATGAAAGACTTATGTGATGGTCTGATGTATGGTGGGTTTGTTAGTTCAAACTGACCATCATCTTGCGGCTGATTGATGGATTGCTTGTTGCTGGAATAAGAAAAAGACGGAGGCTCTCTGAACGCGGTTCCAACAGTGAATCCATGGCGAACAAAAGCCAAGGGTCGAATCATCCGACATGTTCCATTGGTGTTATACTGTGACGACTTGTCAGGTAACAAATCCAAGAGATGGAATAAGCACATCGCGTTTTACTTTACGTTAGCAGGGCTTCCTCCAAAGCTTTCAAATCAAGAATATCACTGTCACTTTGTGACCGTATTGAACTCGGCAGGAGCATTGGAATTGGCAGATCCTTTGGTAGACGACTTGAAGTAAGATTTTTGTTTATATTTATTCATCTTTTGACATGTCTGTGGTGGTTGTTGACAAAATAAACCAGCACTCTAATGCAAGATGGTTTTGTGGCCTATGACCACAAGGCCCAGGCGGAAGTGCTGGTAATGACCGCGGTCCTCTGTCATCTAGGTGACTCGCCTATGCATGCAGAGGTTACAAATACTATGAATCCCACAACTTCTTTGTCACCATGTCGGGTTTGCCATTTGAAGGTCCAGTCTCTGATGGAAAAACGTTCAGCAAAGTACGTATGTGACTTCCTGGGGGTTGACGAGGAGGGAAACAAGGTGTGATTATATTTATAGAACTCCAAATCATTGGATCAAAAATAATGGATGTGTTTGTTTTAATTTTTAGAAATCACTACCAAAAAGGCAATGGTCTGAAACTGCCAAAGGGACGAAGGCGCTTTGGAACTTGGCTCAAACGCCTGGAAACATCGGTCTTTTTGATACAAAATCTTCTGAATCTGGCGTGAAGGACACACTGAACCTTAGCTTTGTCAAAATGGTTCAGGATCTTCACCGTGATTCCTCAGTAACACACGCACAAACGTCCGCCTTTTGTCGCGAACTGAATGAGCAGTTTGGCGAGCGTCTATTCAATCCATTTTTACGACTCAATGGTAAGACTGGTCCGTTCTTGGTTGTTAATAACAGTAATGCTTATATACACTCCAACCAGGCTTTGATGGACATCGCGATACGCCAGTGGAGGTATTACACGTCATTTTATTAGGTGTTGCTAAGTACTTGTTGCGCCACCAAATGAATAACTGTTCGGCAAAGGAGAAAAACGAAATTTATGGACGTTGGAGGTCATTCAACACATCCGGTTTGAGCATTCCAGCAATTCAGCCAAAGACTATGATACAGCACTTTCTCAGTCTTAATGGCAAAGAATTTCAAACAGTTTTACAAGCGGCTCCGTTCATCTTCTTGGATTGCGAAATATCAAATGAGGAACGTGAAACTTGGATTGCGCTGTCCCATCTGGCCCCTTACATCTTTCAGACTGAAATCAGCGATATGAAGACCTATCTCAAGGATCTCGAGAAGCTAATCCGAATCTTTCTGAAGTCAATTGTTCAAATATCAGCTCAATGGTGCAATAAACCTAAGTTTCATATGCTGACCCCTCTATGTGATGCAATTGAACGATATGGACCTCCTTGCCTTTTTGGAACTGAAAATTTTGAATGTTTTAACGGAAACACTCGAGAGTCATCAATTCATTCAAATCATCTTAGTCCGGGCTCAGATATTGCTAATTCGATGAATAATCATAGGCTCATGCGAGCGTTAGGTGCGGGTTCTTATATTTATGATCACCAATCAAAAACATATATACAGGCGGGTTTAAAAGTCCAGAGGACTTTTTAAAATAATGTCTTGTTTCAAAAAGCATTAGGATTCAATGCCGCTTGGAATCAGGAAAATGTAATCAAAATAGGACGTACGTTTCCCTTTGTATATATGATCCATCATTGATATTCCTGCTTGTTGCTGATAACATCTCTTCTTTTTCCTTTCAAGGGTTACACGCTTGTCAACCGTTGAACGCGAATGACATGGTTCCAAGCGAAATACGTGATAGATTCTCGGCTAAGGACTGGCATGTACTCGAGTCGATCACTTTAAAAGACAAACGCAAGGTGACTTCAGATGCCTTTTTGTCTCTCGAGGATTCAGACACAAACAGTGGTAGGATGATAGCACGGGTCGTCAAGCTTTGGGGTGTGGGAGGGTGTTCCTTGCGACAAATCAAGGTCGAGGCGCATATTTGTAATATAGGTCAGGTGAACAAATTTTATGGTATGCGTGAGATCAAGGAGACCAGTAGGGTGATATGGATACATCCTTCTGTGAGTGACTGTGTTGAAAAACTTGGATTCTTGTCGGATATTGATATGCGTTGAGAATCTATAGAAAATCGATGGGATCCTTAATGTTCAACACGACTGTCATTTCAGCAAATGTCAAGTACAACAGAATAGAACAATGATGATTGAAAGAAGAGTCTCCAAAAATATGGACTATTCTGTGGTTCATGAACCAACGGACAATTTTATCCTCAATTCTGGTACATTCCATTCTTCTGAGCTGCATCGGTCTTGGGCACAAGTCCCGTTTAAAGAAGTCGATCGAGAGGATTGGAAGCAGGCAGTTAAAGCTGGAATTCAGAATTGGCAGACATCTTTGAAAAATAAAGAAGAAGCAAATGATAAAAAGAATCAAAAAGCGAAAGGTAAGGCAATAGCGGCGGATTCAGGCCACCGTGGAAAGAAAAGAAAAACAACCGACAATAACCACATACTGTCACAGTCACCATTTCGAGTCGAAGAAGACACCAATGGGCCGCTCGCTGGACCATCCACTTGGTGATTTATGTTGGTCAGATTATCAGATTAATTTGTTTTAAAATGAAACAGTGTCTCAACCGCACAGTTTTGTTTTCAGCTTTGTTTTCAAATGTATTTTTTTTTGAATGATTTATTCATATTTTTGATTTGAGTGTGCAAGTTTCTTTTGTTTAATTTGTTTTAAAATGAAACAGTGTCTCAACCACACAACTTTGTTTTCAGCTTGGTTTTCAAATGTATTTTTGAATGATTTATTCATCTTTTTAGTATGCAAGTTTTGCCACTCAACGTTTTCATTTACCTAAGTCTGTAAGTTTCTCTCTCTCGTCTGACATTGACATTTCAGATCATGAGAATACGCAACAAGAACACGGTTTGATTTGAATTTCGCAACCTCACTAAAATGAAAAATATAATGAATAATAGCAACATCAATAAGATCATAAAAATTAGAAATAAAAATAAATGAAAGATGATAAAAGATTGATGACAAAAAAGATTGACGACAATATGGATATTAGATTTTAATCCTCCTTTACTTGAGAAGACACCAGATTGCCATTGTCATTTTCTTGAGAAGATACATCAGAATTAAAGTCAGAATAATTCCCTACTACAGAGTCTTTCTCTTGGGATGTTACACGATAAGAAACTGAAGAACCTGATTCAGAGTCGGACATTGAGTCCTTCACAGCTGAAGGAAAGGGACTTTCGAGACGTAGTATCGAGCGATAAGGATACCAACCGTACTGACTCTCAATCGAGAGTAGAGGATAGAAAGGAAATTGTCTAATGGCAATGGAAGCAGTGCTTATGTCATATATTTTTCTCCTCAAGAAATTATGATATACCAAAATCCCCCAATTTTCATCGCCAGTCATGTCGACAAAAGCTGGCACGGGGAGAGAGTGTTTGATGCATAGGACATCCACTAGGCGATGAAGTCTGTCGTAGTCAAACTTAGAGTTGAGAGGCCCAATCGTAATTAGCCGGAACGGATCCACATCGTCCGCCGAAGCAAACCTCATCGGTTGGTGTAAACGTCCAGATTTGTCAAGGATGGCTTGATAAAGCGGCCTGCATTCCATGTCTGTAAATATTTGCCATAGAATCACACATAAAAGAATCAATTACCTTCTAAAATAGCGTTCCAAATCCAGACGCGAAAGCGTAGGAAGATAGTCCATCTGGTCCACAAGGTCCATGGTGGGTTTCAGCCTATTTCAAATCAAAGCAATTAGTCAGTAAATAGACAACATCCAATCATAATGGACGCCAGCTTAACGACGTCTATCTGGTGGCGGCTTGTATTGCAAAAGCGCAGGGTGTCTCAATGTATCATTTCGCCAGAAAGCACTCATATTGCAGTAAAATGATTAATAGGTCAATAGTTCAAGGTTGCCTGGTAGAAAAGGAATTGATTTGACAACGGGAAATAAGACTAATCAGATCTAATAATCTAGATCATCTTCCATTTGTCACAGCCACACACTGGACATCGTGCTGTGATCGAATCCACGCGCCTGATTGTGCAATAATTGAAGATTTTGAAGTCAATCAACTCGCAACACGCCTGGAGATTGCAGTTGCAGTGTGACAAAATCCAAAGGCTGTGGGCAAAAATCATTGGTTTTTCAACCGATTTCGGTTTTAAAGCAACTTCCAATGAAAGTTGTCATTATTTGTCGAATAACTTTTGAGAATGGACAAATTGCCAAGGCCTGTGGGTATAACCTTCGGTTTTACAACCGATTTCAATTCCCAGATTGTGTGATTTTGATATAACAACAGCGGTTTTACAACCAATTCTGGTTTTAAATGTATAACCAGCGGTTTTACAACCAATTTCAATTCCCAGATTGTGTGATTTTGATATAACAACCAGCGGTTTTACAACCGATTTCGGTTTTAAAGCAACTTCCAAAGAAAGTTGTCATTCTTTGTTGAATGACAACCTTCAAGATTGGACAATCTCGTTTGATTGCCAAGGCCTGTGGGTATAACCAGCGGTTTTACAACCGACTCTCCTTGTTCCTCGTCCAAGAGGCGCTTGAAAGCTCTGTGGGATCGGATCATCAAAAGTTGTCATTTGGAATATTGTTTCTAATGAGCGAGCCAAAGGCTGCTTGTTTGATTGAGCAATTTGAAGCATGATGAGGTGTCAAAGAGGAGTGAGAGAAGAAATCCTGTGTGGAAATGCGAGGATCTTTTTTTGCTTGTCTTATTTTTTCCGCACCCGGGCCCATAAAAAGGGCAGGGCTCTTGTCTTTTTCACCATTCATCAACTCATTTCATTCTTTCACATCATTATCTTTGTATTTTTCGATTTCACCTTTATCCAACCATCATCTCATCGGCCATTCATCATCGACACCTTTCACTCACTCCATGACGACATGACTCGACGCTATCAGCCTAAGCCATACAGTAAAAAAAGCCAGACTGTAAACGACAGTGCTCACAATCGTTCCTCGCGTGGTTCCAAATCAACTCCATCTTCCGCTCCTGCTTCATCGAGTCAACCTTCTGAACAGTTACCACATCAAGTCACCGGAAGTCGCATCCAGATGATGCTAAATCGTTCCAGAAGCACTGTCACTCCGCTGGGTCCAACCAACCCTCCTCCTGATGCCAACCCTCCCAGCCACGATGTCGGCGATGACGACCTGAATGACTTCAACTTCGAGAACAACCATGATGACGATCTCAACCTTCAAATCACCCATGCTCTTCAAGAACGTAAGGTTGTTTTCTTTCCGATCTTTAGAAAACCCCTTTCCTGACCATTTGTACTTTACATCCATCTCTACTGCATACAGAAGCAGCGTTAGAGAATGACGAGCATCTTTCACAGGCCGCCAGTGTATCATCAGGAAATTTATTAGGAAATCAGATCACCAGCTCAACAACCGCTCCAACTCACTTGACAGGTAATAGATTACAAGTTTTCAATCGTCTTGCTACGCGCACACACCTTGATGATGAGAGTCAGAGTCTTGGTCGCTTCATGTGCAGTGTAAGCACCATTCCCTTTTCATTTAGAATGTTCCTTCCCATTCTACTCAACTTTGAATCTTCTGATATTGGTTGGCAGTTTGAGTCTCAAGACGAACAGTTCCTAGCCTGCATGACCACTGTCCTGGCAGTCCATCAAGATGTCTCGTCCATCCGTGATGAGATAATCGAAGCCATCAGAAGAAACTCATTCCCTGGGGAAGCTTCCTCCCCTGAACGTGTCACTTGGAAGGGTGATGGGGCTGAACTCAAAGTAAGTTGTATGTTTGTCTTTGTTTGTCATTTGTGTCCTTCACTATATTAACGGTTTGATTACATGTTATCCTATACTAGCAATGCATGCGTTTGTTAGCAACACAAACCATTCTAAGTGGCAATCTGCAAGCTTATACTGCCAGGGTAGACCCATTGGGAGGGACGGATCAGCTGCCTTTAGGTTTGTATGCTAAAGTCATGGTAAGTGACATTTCCTTTAAATTTTAATACATTTGTGAACCAAACTGAAGGCATATACAGACCTCCATGTTATCCCATCCTAGCGAATGGAAGAATAGGGTTCTGCCACCTGGTTATGGCACTAACCCCGATCCTCGACATACTCGATCTTTGGAAACGACCCTGAGCTATCAACACACATTTTCTGATGTAGAGCAGCTTCTCACCCACATCAACCTTCCAAATTGAGTACACTCGGGCACAAACGCCAACGTACCAGTCCTTGACACAGTGATTGTCAAGGTGAGTTAGCACTTGCTATCTATCAATGTCAAGTTGTACTGAAATTACATTTATACACAGCTTTACCAGAAAGAACGCGGCCTTATTGGGGGACGAGTGCGTGTGCGCGAAGAGATCCTTCAGGAGGTTGATCATTTACAAACTTCTCGATATGCTTGGCTGGTAATTCTGTCGACTGATATCTCAATCAAACCACAATTCAGAAGCTGACAGTGTTACCTGCGATCCAGAGGATGCAAGCCATCCACTGGGGCTTGAACTTTGCAGAATATGAAGGCCGATCTTTTTGGAATGTTGTGGACCGGCAACTGGCCTTTTTGCGATCTCAGACCACGCGGTACCGTTACGCGTACGTTAGGACCTCCTTCAATTTGATATCAACGTACTAACCATTCCACTCTTTTGCATAGCTTCTTTCTGTTAGTATTGCAATTCGACCTCGAACGCATTGATGGCACTAAGACATTTGAGGAGTTGAGGGGGTCCACCAACTTTTCTTTACCTACTGAGGCGCAAATTCAAACCACTATGGACGATTTGAACACGACCTTTGGACAGGTGGTGCAACCTGATGAGGAGGCTTACACGGTGCTTCCAGAGCCCGCTACCCCCATTTGAAGGTGTTTCACTTATGTTCTCTTCGTCTTTTGTGTATGTGTCTCTCTCTATGTTGTTATTTTATCTCTGTGAATATAAATTTAAATTTATTTATTACATAGCCTGTATCTTCTGTTTAAGTATGTATATTCTGTTTTCTCAAGATCGTTTTCTCTCTTTGTGTTATTGTGCCTGTCTCTACGTTGTTATTTTATTTGTCTGAATATGTCATTTTGTGTGAATATAAATGTATTGTATATTTTTCTTATTTGCGTGTTTGTCTTCATTCTATTTTATTTGTGTGAATATGTTATTTCGTGTGAATATAAATTTATTATATATTTTTCTTATTTGCGTGTTCGTCTTCATTCATTGTGAGAAAAGAAACACGCAACTGGCCGTCCCAAAGAGGGTACCGGTGCCATTTTAGAAATTGCCAACTGGTTTGACAGTTGAGGTTTAAAACGGGTGAATAACTACATACAAAAATTGCGTTGGCAAAACCCCGGTTTTAGAACCCTCATTGAGACTGTGCAGGAGATCACGTTGTAAAAAACGCTGGTTTCCAAACCAGGATTCAGATTCTTCTCAGGAAAACCGTTGTCATTGTTTCGGTTTGGAAACCGGCAGTGAAATCCTGGTTTGTTAAATACTGGGTTAGCACACGGGTTTCAAAAGAACCGATTTAGACCGCGCGGTTTAAGCTTGTTGGGCCAACGTAGCCTCTCTGCAAAGAAAACCGGGGTATCAACCGGGGAGATACCCCGGTGGGATAACCGTTTCGGAGGGTTTGTGGTGTACCAGTACAGTATTGAAGATACTGGTACAGTACCTATAACAAAAATACTCAAAATCAAGGTACTCAGTACAGTACCTACGGGGAGATACTGTACGGAGTACAGTACCTAGAAATTAGGTACTGTAAAAAACCTCAGGCAGTACAGTATTTTTGGCCACCCCTGATCAATACTGTACTGTACTGGTATCTTGGGGCGATACTTAGGTACTATACCGTATCGTACCTTGTGCAGGTACAATACGGTATAGTACAGTACCTATGTAAGTACCTGGCACATTAGGGAGAAGCATGTATTCAAATTGAGCACCATAGAATGTAAAACAAATCTTATTAAAGAGACATAAAGATTAAAGCTAAATATTATTAAAAATTTCAATGTTGAAGTAAAATAGAGAGGAAAAGACAATTAGGAAAATAGAAATTATTGGAGGGAACACATTCCCTCAAGACCTTCTTGCACGGATAGATGCATCATTGGAAATGCATTGATTCATAATTTCCCCCGCTTTGACAAACTGGCCTTTCATTTGCACACCTTCCACTGACCACATATGGCCACATACAAGTCTCTCGATTGGTCAAGGCTTGAGCAAGCTCCGGTCTCGGGTGCAGATATCGGCAGCACAGGAGAAACCCCTCTCACAAGCGCATGATGTGCCGCTGATGGCCAGGTAATCACGAGCAAGGCAGCTCAATATCGGATGCTTTCCTTCGTTCAACTGAAGAATGTTATCAAACTTAGTAATGAATTTGACCATGACAAAGAGTGAAATAAAGACAAAGTTACCTTCCACCATTCCAAAGCCAGATGAGGGTTCTCACCAACCTCTTCTGAGGGATCCTCTGCCATCTCCAGGTAGGATCTGAGTTCATTAGCCGTGTTGCGTCGGTTCTTGGCTTTGTGTTTGCGGAATTCCTTGTCTTCTTCCACAGCTCCTAAGCTTTTTCCATTTGTAGCAGCACGGCTAGAGTTAGATGTTATGGGTTCATAAGGCCCATCAGTTTCCATTTCGAGTTTTTTGTTTGCATAGGCTGTTTCGATGAGCTCCTTAGCAAGCAGGATTTCATCGGAGCCTTCTCCAAAGGCAAAGTCGAAATAATCGATTCGTAAACTTGGATGTAATATAGTTGCAAGGATAAGAGCGTGCGATTCAAGTGCCTCTTTAAGATAGGCCTTGAATCGCACGTGCATAGAGTGGTACATTGGAAAGAGCGGCTCGGCCCGTGATTGAGTCGAATCGATGTGCTTTTGAAGAGCTTTCTTGAGCTTCACGTATTCACGTATTACTAATGAGCCAGTGGGACCGCTTTGCTCAAAGAACTTGGTCAAGTTCTCGAACTCCTAGTACAAGTAACCACATATTAATATTGTACAAAACTGTTTCAACCACTAAGACAACAAAGGAAACACAATGGCTTACCTGGAGAATCTTGATCAGTCCTCGCACCTGTTGCCATTCATCTGGCGATATCATAATCTTATTGAAGATTCCTCAAGGTTGGTGAAGGTCTGGAGCTAATGGAGTTTTGACAACTCGGCTTGGTCCAGCCCTGCGTGGAACGTCCATTTGGTCTTCCTTCAAGATTTGATCGATCACCTTGAGTTACAAAAACAAATGTAAGTCTTCAATAATCTAAAGGGATTGATATTGTGAACTTACTTCTCGGGCGTTGTACAATCGTTTCCAGCATTGGAGCTTGATGTTCCAACGTATGCCGTATCCAGGAATTGGCCTGGGGAGTTTTTCCGAGAGCATCGTTTGGCTGACGGCATCAACGAGGGAGCACATCACTGCCGAACCACCAATCTTACGTCCTACAACATCCAGCTTAATTAATGTAACACAAAGTTAGCAAACACATACGCTATATATAAACAAAGTGAAAAAAGTGAGGAAGGTATCTTACTTTGGTCATCAGCAAGGCGACTGCATTTGCAGCATTGCGATTGCTTGGCAATGGATCGATTGGAGGGGTAAGTTCTTCGTGAGGCCCATCGATAACACCATACCAATCAGGACTCTCCACAGCAGGCTGCAGATTGGAGTCGTCAACCTCGCCAGCATCATCTTCCTCTCCTTCACATCCTAAAGCACCTTTGGCCGTCTCGTCTTCTTCAGGAACAGCTTTTAGAGTCGTGTTTGCAATCGGAAATTCCCCAAGCATGGTCGATTTCACAAGAGGAGGTGGAGGGGCCTGGATACCGAGGGATTGAAGACCTCCACTGACAATCAGTGCCAACTTATGACACACGCATTGTACTCGGTGTGTTTTGTGGTTCCACTTAAAAACTTCGTTGTTGTCCTCGGCGTGTTTCTGGAGTCGTATGTTCATGGCCTCAGCTAGTGTATTGTTATTGCTTCCTGAGCCGTGAGTCTGGGAGATCATGTAGATGAAATAAAAGAAACTATAATGATTAGTTAGATTAGAAGTAAAACAATGAGACAAAGTCATAAAACGAAAAACCTATCTTTGTATGTAGCCTGTGCTTGATCAGGAGATTGTTCAATGGCTCAGCCAGCCAATCTCCCTTATGATGCCATGCGATGAGCTTCAAGGCAAAGTGCCTCGTGACATAGGTCTAATCCTTTGTGACAAAGGTGACACTTGCACCTAAGAATCCATATCGATTACCAGGGGTGGTCCAAGCGTCATGTATGAGCCCAAATGAGCTTTTAAGAGACTAATACAGATCATTGATCATCAATCATCAGAAAAAGAGGAGAATTAAGGAAAATATAATGTAGATTTCACACCAAAGGCACGACATGTGGAAGTTTTCCATAGTAGCCGAAGGAGTGTGAAAGGACAGTAATCCTCCCATGTCACATTGGTGACAGGGGAGGTAACTCGCTGACAAGTGGTGAACTCTGACTTAGCAAAATTTTCACTAGCCAGAACACCACTCCCTAGCATCTATCAGAACACCACAAACACGATCCTTAGCCGTTGAACACCTTCAGTTTTTCTCTCTATAGTTTCCTTTTTTTTGTCCCGCCCACCTTCCCTAGGCTAGGACCGGCCTCTCGGGTGTTCACAGGTCTGTCGGGTCTATGGGAGGCCTACCCGGAAACAACCGTCCCGGCCTCGTCCGAGACGCCCCCGGCTAGAGCTGCCCCCATAGGACCCCCCCCCACCCTAGCATGTACCTAGCTGAATGTAGGATGTGTTAGCATGACCTGTAATACAAAAGAAAGGAAGAGAGATAAAAAGGAAAAACTAAGATAAGACGGCTATTCCAAAACACGATAGAGGAGTAGATGGATGACAATAGTGAAAAAAGGAAAGCGAAAGAGGCACTCACCTGGAGTTCATCAATCACAGAAGATCGCATGCCCGAGATAGGCCTCATGTGCGAACTTGGCTACCCAGGTCCTTCCAAAAAGATGGGCGTTTGGATTGGCATATCGAAAGGCGGCGCGTAAATAGGGATCTTCCATGCGTCGCCATGGCTGAGCTGTCCTAATAACCCACATACCCAAAAGTTGGTTGAGAATCTGATGATCGAATTTTGGTACCACCTGAGCAAATGAAGTCATTGAGGTTTGGCCTTGGGTCGAGTTGTCATCTTCAGATCGCTGTTCTGCGACGGTGAGTGGCAGTTTACAGCCAGAAGCGATCGCAGTAGATCTCTTCTGGCAACCTGGTTTGCCAGACTTACCATCCTGCGTGGAACCATCTCGATGGGCCAACAGATTTGTTGCCAAAGACAGAGCACAGGCTACGTTGAAGCCACAGTACTTGCAAGGAAACACCGTGACTGACTTCTTTTTTGCCTATAACAAATTGGCGAGGAGGTGAAAAGTAGAGTTTAAATAATTAAAAAGGGGAAATTAAATTTTGAAGAAGAGGATACATAAAGGGAAATTCAATGATAACTTACATTGATGATTGTAGTCATCTCGTCAAAGTAATCGCGAATGTTATCAAAACGGTGTTTGGTCTTAGGTTTCTTTGCAACCTTTGCATTCTCCTCGTCGGAGTCTTGCACCAAATTGATCTGGAGACCGACAGGCTGACTACTTGCATTGTTGTCACTTGCTTGTGGCGCTTGCTGAGATAGATCAGATTGAGTTTTTCGACGACGCTTTGAATGTGTCTTTGATGATGATTGTCTTGGTTTGTTGGGCTTGGGCTTGAAGCAAGGCTGACGAGATTGTGAGTGGTCCGAGGTTCCGTCATCCGTTGAAGGATCATTGCGCTTGCGTTTGGTACTAGTTGGCTGATAGACTGAACCGTCGGATTCAGAGCCATGATCTTGGTGATGGGCGGAACGGCGCGAGTCAGCAGGAACTTCAATCATTCGGGATTGCTGCCTAGCTGGGGATGGTCGGGAACTGCGACGTTGATTGGAGGAATTGCCTACGGCAGAAGAAGATGGGGATGACATGATGACAATGCGGAAGAAATGGATATAACTATAGTATTGAGAAGATGTAGAGTAGAGTCAACAAATATGATTGAAGATATAAAAATTTAAATGGTGGAAGTGAAAGAAAAATAAGAAACAAATGGGCATACCTTTTGGCGACAAAGAAGCCCCCGCCGATGGAACCTAATGGAAAGGCTTGGTGTTTCCATCGTCGCTTGTCTAAATCGCTGCTAAAGATAAATTAACACCACATTGGTCAGTTAGAGAAGGTAAGGAGGGGGATCTAGATCAAAAAGGGTAGATTGATCCATTGGGCTTACCAATTAGGCAAGATCATGGCACGATCTTTGGTGGCCTTCGTCGTTTGAGGTTGTTTGAGGTGATGTATTGGGAGAAAATCGGGATCGGATGTATTCTGAGCGAGGAGGAAGGGCTGGTACAGTACAGGTACTTGCCCGGTACTTGCCAGGTACTTCGCAGGTACTTTACCGGTAAAGTACCTAAAGTACCGGGCCAGATACCCGGTACTGTACCTAGTATCACGATACTGACAGAGCCGGTACTGTACTGGTACCTTGGTGACCGGTACTATACTAAGTACAGTACCTACACTGAAAAAAAAAGTTTGTACGCCCTGTAGTACAGTAGTGGCAGCCAAGGTACTGTACTGCCAGGTACTGTACTTGTACTTTTAGGTACTTTACTTTACTATACCGATACTGGTACAGTACCGGCTGCTGCGTTGACACCAGCTTCAGCCTCCTCCCAGCGCCCGTCAGTGTCAGCCGGCCGCAACGCAGTCAAAAAGTTTGGCGACCTCCTCAAACTCACAAAAGAGAATGTAGATCTTTTGCAGAAGATGTACGAGGTGAGCTTAAATCGTTCTGTATTGGACTGTCACAAAGGGATCATTGACTGCTCATTCATTCAATGTGTAGAACACACTGCCCAATGAAGAGTATTTAGGGACCCTGGCGTGTGTGGTTTATTTTTCTCAGCTCTCTGGTGGATCGGGTTCCAAGTGGGTACCTGGGCGCCGCATTCGAGTGAGCCCCTCTTTTCCTTTCCCCTCCGATTAAGCACTTGTTTTTAAATTTCTTACAACTGTTTTATCCCTTTCTTCTGTGTATGAATAATCTAACCGCTCTTAGGACACTTTCAAAGACACAATCGGCAACTTCATTCTCCGGCCCACCCTTCAGGCGTTCAGCAAGACTGTTGCTGCAAATCACACTACTCTGGTGGATAGCTTAGAAATATTGACTTTTGTAAGTTATTCTTTCATTCGGTGATAAATCTCCAAACTCACCGAGTCAAGCGTTCCCCTCCAGAACTACCTCAAAGAACTTGACCCCGAGATTGTAGATGAACAATGCGCCGGAGATTACATTGCTGGCGAGGCCTGTGTTCCTGGAACCGCGATGTATTCTTTCATTAAAGAAACTTTGAAGAACCAGCGTAGCAAAGTCCGTTCTGTGGTAGGGCTTATCCTCTGAATTACTTACTACAGACCGCTAATCGCTGACTACGTTGATGCCAAAACCACTAGCTTCTCACCAATATCCTCGGTGTTAAAGAGGATAGCGCTCTTACTGTTCCGTCTGCAAAATCGGTTGTCCTTCTGGTAGGTTTTTCTTTCTTCAACTTCTAAATTCCCACAGAGTTACAAGAACTGACTCTCAAACCCACAGGTTGCACGCACGTTTGTCCCCAAGTTAAAAGATCTGGGGGACAAGGCCTTGATGATCAAGCTGGGGCCTGAGAAGATCAGGTGGATCATATTTATGGTCAGCCTTCCTTATTTACCTCTTTAGTTAAGACTAAGGACGATTAGACTGACCTGGCGTATCATCTTAGCGATACGTGACAGCTTACCACCATCTTAACCACACTGAAAACAAACAACGTTGCCAATGGACCATCATGGACGAAGCTTTGGCGGACCTTCGCGCGAGGCCTGACAGCGATCGACCCTTGTAAATCTTCTTTTTCCAACATATGTCCTTGAGTGCACGAGCCCTGATTGACTCTTTCCTTGTTTCAGGTTTCTCAATCAGATTGTGCGCTATGATCGAGAGGCCTTTAATGGCAAACGAACCTGGGCCACTATCAAAGTCTCAGAACCCCTCCGAGCCCCCATCGCGAGTGAAGTTCTGGCAAGTGTAGAGGCAAATCCAGGAGGTGGGTCTGGCTCTGGGGATATGGAGACAGAGGAGGTAGACGACGGTGGAGGGGATGAATGAAACCCAGATTATGGTAGTGGATATCTTTGTACTTAGCATGAAATCGACCATTCAAAGGTCTTTACCGCAATGAATCCGCTTTTCTCCTCCCGTACATGAGCATGCAAGAGAGGGGGTTTTTAGCAACACAATGAATTGCAGCGCTCGCATTCTCGTGCAAGCGCGAGGTGACATACAGCGCTGCACCGTGACTCGTGCGTGTTTGCCCTGTATCGAGAGGTCACGCGGGTTGCTGGCTCCCCACTGCGCGTCCACCCGACACGAGGTCGATATCATCCAGATGTGACATCCATGACTCTGCCACGGGGCCCAGGACGTCTTGTTCCTGTGTGACGAACACGTAAACACGATGTGTTTCATTCCAGCGTGGTTTGGACGCGGAAGGCCCCTGCCAGAGGATTCCACGTGAATTTCACGTGCCCACCCCTTAGTGGTGTACAAATGGCCTTCCATCCGTTTGGTCACGGCAGCAAGAGGAGCTAGAAACTGGACTAAGTTTTCGACCAAAGCCCACTCTTCGTGATCAAGTTTGAAAGCCTCAAGTTCTGGGTTACAATTAAACTGATACTCTAAGACGACTCGAAGGTGAATGAATCGGGCAAGTGATGCATGGGTTGATGACCATCGAGTTGAAACCTCATGAACTAAACCAACTTTCTGTTCCAACACACCACAGCTTGCAATCGCATTGTCGAGGGAGGTCTTGAGCTGGCTACTGTGCTTGACTTTCTTGTGAAATCCACGGATTCGAGTAAGTATGCTTCCGATCTCGGCAGTAGAGGTAGGTTCAACAAACAAGGGAACAGAAGATGGATCTTGAGGTATGGCAGGATCAAGAGCGTTGACGGATGAAAATTGATCCTTTCGATCAAAGACAGCAAGTCCAGCCTTGGCCACAAGGTTGATGACATGTGCGATACATCCATGAATACTTTGAGAAGTGTCGAAGTGAGGAATCATGGTTGAGAGGGCTTGGCCCATGGTGGTGTTGTTGGATGCGTTGTCGGCAGTGATGCAATATAAGCGCTTGGAGATGTGGAAATAGTCCAAGATTTGCTTGAGGTGAGAAGCCAAGTTGGAACCGGTGTGAGGTCCATCGATTGGCTTCAAAGCAAGAGTAATACCACGGAGCTTAAAGTCGTCAGAAATCCAGTGCGCGGTCACACCAAGCATCGCGATGTTGGTTGGAGAAGTCCATCCATCGCATGTGATACTGATATGCTTGACGGAAGAGAGAAGGTTGATGATGGCTGATTGTTTGGCTCGGAAGGTGGTTAGAATTCCTTCGGAAATCACAGTCCGTTTAGAAAGTATGGCAAAAGCCGCGGGGTTGATCATGTTGATGATCTCGCGGAACTCCCTGCCGTCGACAAAAGAGACAGGAACCTCTCGATTAACAACCAAACGGATGAGAGCCTCCTTGAGGTTGGCTCTGTTGAGAGGTCGAACCTACAAGAGGAAATAAAGAAGGAAAAATGAAAGAAAAGACCAAAAAGGAAAGTAAATATAATAGTCAGTGAAAAACAGAGTACGAAACAAAGAAAGTGTGAAAAAAACATACTTCAACTGGCTCCCCGTCGATGTAGAAGGCCGCAATGCTGGGTTGAATGGTTTGAACAGGCGGTTCAATATGATGTGCACAATCAAGATGTTGGCTCATCGATTTTGTAGAGCCGTTCTTGTTGATAGCAAGAGCTTTGTTGCAGATGACAGTGGGTGCGTCGGCGTTGTTGGCAGCGGTGTTGGCATTGATGAAGCCTTGTTGAGCTCGGCACACGTTCTTGAGGACGCTGTCGACCTCTTCGGTGACAAAGTATTGCCACACCCAAGACAAACATGCGGTAGTTGTAGTATCGGAGGCCACTTCGGAGATGGAATCCAAGGGAGCAATACTAGAAGACATGACAGAACGATGTAAAGAAGAGGCAGATCTTGTGACAGGGATTCTAGGCGATGAGGTTGACATAAAACAATATGAGACGATCTGACAGGAACTTGTTGATCGAGAATCTACTCCGATCGCGACAATTGTGAGAGAAAATGGCCTAATGAGAGTTGGCTGCCCGGGCCGGGCGGGTCGCCCGGGACGCCCGCAGGGCATTTGTCACTCTCATCAGGTTAGGTTTAAGTGCCCCAGAGCGCGGACTGTGAGCTTCCTAGAGACCCTCGGGCAGAGTCGGCCGGGCAGGGCCGGGTCCGGGTCACAGCCCTACTATGGGCGATGAGAAAGTAGCCTTATACTGAAGGTAGGTTTCTCCAGGCTCGCATATGAATTTGCAAGAAGTGGAAAGAAAATCCCTTTCTCCCTCTTCAACTCACGCGTTGACTTTCCCCATAGCCGTCTACCCCACACTCGTATAGGGGAACAGGACCCCGGAAATCTCCTATGGAACCATCTCAGGGGAAATTGCGGAAAATTGATTGATTGATACCTTGAAAAAGTGACTTTTTGAGCCCACGGTTTTTGCCTTGATTTGGGCAGTTTTGACCCTTTTCCACTGGTAACATGCTGTTTTTCAAGGTTTCACCTCCGTGACATGTCATTTGATAGAGAATTGATACCTGTATTGCTATTTTCTGCTGGTATGTTTTCATAGGTTTTTTTGAAAATTGGCGGATTGATACACATTTTGTCGGTACCTCAGCCAAGATCTTGACCCCTGATTGATACATTTTTTGTCAGATGGTTTCATAGTGGTTTTCCGGGGTCCTAGGGGAACCCTCTCACTCTTCTCTCACGGCTTAAGCTCTGACGCTTAGCCTTATTTTTGGACCCACCTGCCGCCCTAAATGGCAAATTTTTGGGTGAAAAGCTAACCACTAAGGAATGTCTAATAATCCTCACAGGCTGTGTAATTTCAGAACAGATATGTATGGTCTTGACCCGGTAATCAGAGTTGGGTAAGCCTTGGTAGCACGTGTTGCAGTAAGTGTATGGTATGTTTGTGAGTGTATTTTGTGTAGATGAGTGCTTAGCCCAGCTGTTCAGCGCTCTCATCTACAGTGCTAGGTGGTCCTATCTCCCCCTGCCTATCCCAGGCGGGGGGCCCCCAAGAAACCAAAAGTATTCATGAATAGATACTCTACGTTTGACTAGGACATGTCTAGGAAACACACTTAACACATATTGAGACATAAATAGATAAGTATAGAGTAATGCATGAGGAAAGAACTAAAATGAATTTGAATCAAATTCACCTTCCTGCTGAGACCCCATTGAGAAAAGAGTGGAAGAATTGATGGAGGGGAGCAAACTTATATAAGTCCTCTTGTGTGGCGGCCCTGGGGTACAAGTACCACATACCTCTGAGGCGCAAAAAGATACCTCAGATTTTTCAATCTGAGGCATCTATGTTGGCTGTGAACTCACCCAAGAAAGTACCATATACCAAGCACAAGGTCTAGTTAAGCCCATAATGGGCCAAAGACCACAGGGCCATCTTCAACACAACAAAAGCCTTTTGGGTCCTTTGCAGGCTCCATCAACCTGAATTTGTACTGACTATTGACTTTGCTGAAAAAATGGATCAAGCCATCACCATTCTCCTAATGGCTTGCTTTCAAGATCAACAACACACTTACACTACACAAAATGTCATCTTTACCGGGCGGTAAAGAAAACTACTGACATAGAAAAGTCCTGAGGCAACAGGAAGAGAGCTAAAAATCTGAAAAAATATGCACCTTGTTCCTAGATGTTGGGGCGTCATGACAAGTACTTTTTTGTATTTTACACACAGATATTGGTTAATGTACTAACAATAAAGGCTGAGAATCATCAAAAACCCACCTGTAACAATACCTGAAATTTGGCCCTTGACTTTGAAGACAGGATTTTGGAATCTTCAAACATCAATAACTTTTGCAGTTCTGAATCAAATCACTCGATTTGAAGTGCATTAAAAAGGGGAGCCTTTCCTCTACATTTTTCATTGAGACATCACATCTGTAGCTGGTCTAAAAAAGATCCTACAGAGCTATTCATGCAGAACTGTTTGAACATATGTAGAGTGTTTACATGACTAGATAGCACCTTACTAACATTATGAAGTGTGAAGGAGAATAGTTCAGCTTTTGAATGAACCAAAAATCGAGTTATTTGGAGCAGAATTGCAAAAGTTATTGAAGTTTTTAGACCACAAAATATTGTCTTCATACTCATGACCCAAATTTCAGGTATTGTTACATGTGAGCTTTTGATCATTTTCAGTGTTTATTGTTAGTACATAAACCAATATCTGCGTGTAAAATACAAAAAAATACTCATCATGACGCCCCAACATCTAGGAACAAGGTGCATATTTTTTCAGATTTTTAGCTCTCTTCCTGTTGCCTCAGGACTTTTCTATGTCAGTAGTTTTCTTTACTGCCGGGTAAAGATTACATTTGGTGTAGTGTTAGCTTCAAACACCAGCAGGTTGACATCATTGTAAAAGGATGACAACACACTGTGTAAAATACCTTGTAGCACGTCAACGTGCACACACGATGAGATTTTTAAAAAAAGAATAATGTTTTGTTGAACTCAGTGTGTGCAAAGCAGCTCAGACCTGCATATTTGTCTCACAAAGGGCTTGATTTCTGAGCACCTGGAAAAAGGGATAGTCTTTGGATCCAAAGATCTGTTCAAAGGGAAAGTCTTTGGATCCAAAGACCTGTTCAAAAGTTCTATCATTCCTCTATGACTTTCTTTTTGTGTGTGCACATTGACATGCTACCAAGAAATTCACACGGTGAGCATGCATGCTTACTTGCTGGTCTATGAAAGACTGGCTGGGATATCTCTCCAAACCAAAGCTCCTCAAAATTCTTATGACAGCTACCATCCAGACTGCCAAAGACTATTGAGCCATGGCATGGCTCCCAACAGAGCCATTGGCATCCTTTGCCAAGAAAATGACCAATATCAACAACATGCGTGCAAGAGCAGCTCTAGGTTCCCTCAGCACCACCCCCACAGTAATTGTCCGCCATGATGTCAAACTGATCCCTCCAAAGCC